AAACAAACCAAACTGTTCATAGGAGGGTAAACACAAACAAACCAAACTGTTCATAGGAGGGTAAACACAAACAAACCAAACTGTTCATAGGAGGGTAAACACAAACAAACCAAACTGTTCATAGGAGGGTAAACACAAACAAACCAAACCAATTATCACACAGTGTTTGGCAGCAGTACTGTAACAGTATCAAATTTACATTCAATTTGTTGGAATCAAATACTTATCAGAATTGATCGGTATCTAACATTGATTTGGACACTGGTTGTTAAATGAAATAAACAGTTGAGAGGACACAGCCAATACACCTACTGTTACCCACGGCATGTATCGTAAGAGGCGACTAATGTGAGAACCAATACACCTACTGTTACCAAAGGCATGTATCGTAAGAGGCAACTAATGTGGGAACCAATACACCTACTGTTACCAAAGGCATGTATCGTAAGAGGCGACTAATGTGAGAACCCATACACCTACTGTTACCCATGGCATGTATCGTAAGAGGCGACTAATGTGGGAACCCATACACCTACCGTTACCAAAGGCATGTATCGTAAGAGGCGACTAATGGGGGAACCCATACACCTACTGTTACCAAAGGCGTGTATCGTAAGAGGCGACTTATGTGGGAACCCATACACCTACTGCTACCCACGGCATGTATCGTAAGAGGCGACTAATGTGGGAACCCATACACCTACTGTTACCCACGGCATGTATCGTAAGAGGCAACTAATGTGGGAACCCATACACCTACTGCTACCCACGGCATGTATCGTAAGAGGCGACTAATGTGGGAACCCCATGCAGAATTGGGGATTTGCTTTTGTACCCTCTATTAGGGGACACAAAAGCGACCAAAATAAATCTGCTGCACCCATTGCAATATTTGGGATATTTTCTTTCTACTTCTAACTATCTTTTATTTCCGAGCGCCTTGCTTGGCAACACCTCACTTTAATGTTGAACGTTCGCCCAGGTGAGGAAGGCAATGGGTTATGTCCCCAGACAGGGACATACTGAAGTCCTTAAAAATGGTCGTTGTTATTCCCTGCTTAACGTTCAGCATTTAGGGAAATTGCAACAACTGGTTCACCCGTTGTCAGTTCGGTGTGACCGGGTGGAATGCTGTGCTGGGTGCCTTCAGCATGGCATTTCAGTGAGATAGCACTATATAGACGGCATCAGATCCGCGCTATGACAAGGAGGCAAGTACATCAACATACCCTGTCTCTTACACACAAGCACGCTTACACAACACACATGGAGGCACGTCCTTAAATGACAATAGCTGTTAATAGGACGCTAAACAATATAAAACCAAACCCATGGTGGCCGAGTGGTTAAGGCGTCTGACCAGCTTCAATCACTAGTCCTAGGAGGGGTGAAGACTTACAAATTGAGGGAGGATGTATATAATGTATAGCTGTCTTGTATTTGACAGGATGGAGCTGAGGACCGTTGTAGCTGTTATAAGACATGGTGACCGGACACCAAAGCAGAAAATGAAAATGGAGGTCAAACACAAAAAGTAAGTGGGGATATGTTAGTCAGTTTTCCCATAACTACTACAATATCACATGAAATGTAAGCAGGTTATTTATAGCCTAATGACTTTTGGTTGCAAACACAATTATAGAAATTATGAAACGATGAGACAAAAAGAAAAATTGTTTCAGGTTACATGACTGATAAAATAGGATAGGTAGGTAATTTTATTTTTTTTAATTTTTATTTTCTAAATAAAAATAAGTTTGAGGTGGTTTGTAAACACTTTAAATATTTGTTAGTTTTCTTTGTGTCTTCAACAGTATTCATCTCTTCTTTTTCAGATTCTTTGATCTCTTTAAGAAATATGACGGCTATCGGAGCGGACATCTAAAACTGAAGAAACCGAAACAGCTCCAGGAGGTTTTAGACATCGCCCGGTTCTTACTGTCGGAACATCAGGCCTCGTCAGATCCAGAAATAGCAGAGAAGAAAGCTAAATTACAACAGCTGAAAGTTGTCTTAGAAATGTAAGAAAAAATAGTTTAAGTATTGCAAGATAAATCAGTCTTAAAAATGTGAGAAAAATAGTTAAAGTATAGCAAGATAAATCAGTCTTTTAAATGAAAAAAAATAGACTTAGAAATAGAAGAAAGATTAGATAAAGTAATGCAAGATAAATTCATTTTAGAAATATAAGTGTTTTTTTTAAGCAGTGCAAGAATAAATAGTCTTAAAATTATAGGATAATTGTTCTTAGATAAATAAGAAAGAAAATTAGTTTAATAATAAAAGATAGGTTAGTCAAAGTAATATAATAAAGATTAATTTAATTAATGCAAGATTAATAGAATCTTCCCCCTACCTTGAGGGTGTGACAGAGAAATCTCCAACTCGAGGGGCAATGTTTTTCAGTTGTCGAACCAAGGGTTAGACAACCAAAAATATCACCTCAAAGGTTGGAGGTTTCTCTGTTGCACCCTCAAGGTAGGGGATGATTATTTTTTCTCTCATCCTATTATTTCAGTCACAACTCCACCGACAGTAGTCTGCCATGATTGTAAACAAAAACACACGTGGGGTATGCATATTGTCATTCGCTTTTTATGACGTCACAATTACCGATGACGCTTTTTATGACGTCAGAATTACCGATGACGCTTTTTAATGACGTCACAATTACCGATGTGGCTTCTTAATGACGTCACAATTGAACACGTGCTGATCGAAACGAGGCTATCTGCCCCTATGGGGGTGACAAGCTGATCTTTCCCAGCTAAAACGGGAGACACACCTGTGAAGGGTGGGAGAAAAATTAGTCCTAGACATATAGGAAAAGTAGTCGTAGAAATATAAGAAAGATAAATTAGTCTTAGAAATATAAGAAAGACAGATAAGTCGTAGAAATATAAGAAAGATAAATAAGTCGTAGAAATATAAGAAAGATAAACTAGTCTTAGAAAATAAAATATTCTTAGAAATATAAGATTGCCACATCCTGTATGGCCTTTCACAGCGTTATTTATGATACAACTGTATTTTAGATTTTTTTTTTTTAAATACATATTCTTACGAACAGATATTTTAGATAGCATAGCAGGCCACATCCTTTATGGCCTTTCACAGCGTTATTTATGATATAACTTAAAAAAAAAAACCCAAAAAAATCTTACGAACAGATATTTTTAGATAATATAGCAGGCACTTTTTCTCTTATGTTTATTTAAACTTCTTCTAGATTGGAATTGAAATGTATGAATGTGACAATAATCAGGTGCCCTATAGTAAACACACTGGCTGTCTGTCTGTGTGTCCGTCCACACTTTCGTTTCCAGAGATTATCTTGAAAGCCGAAAGACTAATCTTTCTGAAATTTGCCATGATGATACACTGTGGATTTTAGATGTGCAATAGGGGTTTAAAAAATTCAAAGGTCAAGGTTACTGTTACCAAAAATAGACCGGGGACCTGTCAGTGTTCTAGTTTTTGCTATTTCTGAAATAAAACCAAACAATATACTGCCATTTGGAGTAGTGATAGTACAAAAAGTACAATTACAGAAAAAAAGGAGGAAAAACACTTCATAATTTTCATTGTGAAAGTTTGGTTAAAACAATAACTGTTAAAAATATTGAGTCTCAAAATAATTAATTTTGTTTGTTTGATTATTCTGTTGTGTTGTGGTAATGAAAATGTTGGCTGGTTATAATTTGGTTGTGTTTTTGGTTCCTCAGGATTTTTTAACATTTCCAAGTAAACAACTAGGGCATTAATATAAACTACTGTCCCCTATAATGACGTTGGTTTTACCCCCATTAACACACAGTAATAAAGTTTCTCACAAAGGTTTATAGAAATTCTCTGTTGAGGAGCCTAAAACTCCTCCTCCATTGAAATACAGAGTGAAGATTTGCGGGAATCTTCCTGGGGAACCAGGTTATGTCAAAGTTCAATGAAGATGTGCGGGAATCTTCCTGGGGAACCAGGTTATGTCAGAGTTCAATGAATATTCAATAGGATATTTACAAACCATTCATAATTTTATTAAGCTTACTTTCTGGGCAGTTGTCCCAGGAAAACCCCCAAATCACATGAAAATTGCATTTGAAAAAGATCCTTTATCTTTGACTAGTGAAAATAGCTACATCAAGTGTCCACAATTATAGTTTAACAGGAAATTAATTATTATTATTATAAATCACAGAATATTTGAAAATTTTATAAAGGTAATATGGCTTGTATAGTTGGATTTAAAATGTAGTGTTGAATCGGCAAAGATCTCTTGTGAAATAAGTTGGTACTGTCTTCCACAGTGGACATTTGCCAGATGGTTTGTTCACCCTTGTTTTATTTTTGTCTTATTCGGTAAGGAAAAAAGTAAATCGACTCAGGATTGATAATCATAGATTTCAACATTATGTTCAGTCTCCAAGAAAATGGAAAATTTTAGTTTTAACGCATCTAATTACCAAAAAATATCTTAGAAAAGGGATTAAGATATTAGAACTGATGATATCTTTCTCCCAAGGGAGGTAAAAACAGGGAAGGGATCTCTTTTGATAACCTCAGAGGACAAACTTCATTGGGATGATAACAGTGGGGATGATGTGTGTATAGGTTGACTTGACTTGTTTTGAAATCTCAGCCTATACAAAATTTTGGATGGTTTGGCTGGCCGAAACCATAACTGAGCCCTCACAGTGATAGATATATGAATCATGTTTTTGACAAACTTTAAACGAGCAAAATTGATATCTATATCTTTTGTGGCGAATGTTAATTTCCTGTAAAAAAATCTCGAAAAAAGAGTTAAGATTATGAAAATAATTATTTTTTATCTGACATAATGGTAAAAATTTACGAATAATGTTTTTGACACACTTTAAACGAGCAAAATTGATAGCTTTATATTATTGTGACGAATGTTTATTTCCTGGAAATATTTCTCCAAAAAAGAGTTGAGATTATGAAACTAATAATTTTTATCTGACACAATGGTAAAAGTTTACGAATAATGTTTTTGACACACTTTAAATGAGCAAAATTGATAGCTTTATATTATTGTGGCGAATGTTAATTTCCTGTAAATATTTCTCCAAAAAAGAGTTAAGATTATAAAAATAATTATTTTCATCTGACACAATGGTAAAAATTTACAAATAGTGTTTTTGACAAACTTTAAACGAGCAAAATTAATATCTTTATATTTTTGTGGCGAATGTTAATTTCCTGTAAAAAGTTTTCGAAAAAAGAGTAAAAATGAATTTTTTTTTTTTTTATCCGACACAATGGTAAAAATCACTGTAATGTTGCAACTACTGTAATGGTCCAGACAACTCTGTTGTAACCCTGAGCTGCTATTTTTTTCAATTTTGAAGGTGGGATTTTCAACAGAAATTCGAAATACAGACCAGCACTTTCTTGTGTTCATCAGAAAAGTTGGTTATAACCTGCGATGTTTTGTGGTTTTCTGGTTAAATGTATGAGTTATCTCCCCATGCCATAATGAGTTATCTTCCCTTTGCAACATTGCAGAAATTGGCTACCCTGTTGATATAAATTAAATTGAGTTATCTATCCTTTGCAAAGAAAATGGTTCTACCCTTTGCAAATAAATGATCTACTTTTTGCCATTCAGCTGATTGAATATGTGAAATTGATGCTGTTACTTCCCACCCCCCCTGTGCATGGCTTTTTTGTTTGGATTTATTTCTTAATTTTAATCACTTTTAAAAACTAAATTCAGTTATTCGTTAACTGTAGATATTTGAAGTAATAAACAAAAGACACCAGGAAATAAGGAAAGGAAACGATAAAAAGAGGCATATAAACAGTGTTTTTTTTCATTTGGTTACAAGGGTACTTCTTTATTTGGATGATGTGAATGTATTTTACTGGTTATGAATGAAAATGCGATATTGAATTGTTGTTTTATTATCATAATTTGGCAGTAAACGTGCAAGCTGATCTTTCTTTTGTGTCTGTAAATAGTTTTGGTGACCACGAATATAGCAAAATTAAATCTCCCACAAATATTACCGACTCTACTGGAGTAACAGTTATATAACTTTACACTGTATCATCACTTTGGCCTAACTTTCATCTGACTACAGGAAGTTGTTCTCATTTAAGTTCTTCTTTCATTTTAATGTCGACTTTTCCTTTAAATAACACCATGAGCCCTCTAGTCATGACAGTTTTAATAAAAAGGTGATTAAATTTCAATGTCACAGGGGTGTAATGTGTTAAAAACATCTTTTGAATTTCCGCAGAACTGTGAGATACAGTTTTGCTCTGCAGTTGACATGTGTAGAAATCTTTAACAAAATTTAGTACATTCATGATTAACAGAAACCTAGGAATCACTAGATGTTTAGGAATGTCATTGAAATGTGTGCTTGATTCCCCCCTCCAACCCTCTTACTAACTGGACTTCAGTGAATTACCTCCCTTCTCTGGCTAATGTTTTGTGCTTACTTTTGAAATTGACTAGTTAGATTTCATACAATAGAACAATGATATCGCACTATTGACAAAATTAATTTTATCTGTATTGCATGTGCAATTATGTTATTATAATTGTTTTGTTTTAAGGAGACCTTTTGTTGTGCCTATTTTAACAATAGAAATGTCTTCTAAATTATATTTAACTCCACAAGAAGATGTTTTAACTCGCAAAGCTTTATTTGTGTGGGAGGTCAAATTTGATGACTTCTCTGTTCTTAAATGTCCCAATAACATCTAATTGGAACTCTGTATTTCAAAAGTTATCAGATTTTTTTTTTTTGAAGAATATATGAAAGACAATTTTCATCTGAATCATATAAGAAATCTTTTTAAAAACCTTTAAGACTACTGTGTGATTGAACAGTGAACAAATAGGAAATGAGCTACATTTGAAAAACCTGGAAAATTAATTAACCTGTTGATGTTGTCATCTTTTACGCTTGTATTTTATGATTCCAAGGGGATTGGGTATTCAATTTAACCTCACCCCTGAAGACACATTTGAACTCTTCCAATTCAAAGGTTGGAATAGTTCATTTTAGAATTTCAGGGGTGAATGAGTTAAATGGAAAGTTATGGGTCCACTTTTAAGTATTGAAAATGAAAATTGTTACCTCTGGACGTGCTTGAACATTTGTGCAGAAGACATTTATTTGGTAGCTGTCGTAATGTCTAGTCCTTTACTTTATCTTTGTCCCATTAACAGTCAGAATATCAACAAGATGCTTTCAACAGTGGGAACGGCAAAAAGGTTAAAACTTCAGAACTCCCATTAGGTTTTCCTGTACCACTCCCAAATACTTAACTACGCATTGAAACTCCGTTTCTGGCGTGACGATAACTTCTGATAATTTATTGCTGAAAAGAAAACCATAACTTTTGAAATTAACAAAATACATTTTGTATAAGCAATTCTAGACGTAAAAATATTCAGTGTGGCTAAAACAGGATTCCAACCCAGGACCCCAGATTGTTATACTATCACTCAAACAGCTTGAACTACCCTGTCAATGGAGATAACTGTCCTGGTCCAACTGTGCTACAGTAATATCCAAAATGAAATTAAGGGGAGGTTACTGTGTATACAAAAACCAAAGTGCAGTAGGACTCAGAATCTTTAAAAAGTTTGGTGATCCTTAATATCACAGATAGCATTAAGACCAGGGCCCGTATTCATGAAACGGTATGTCTTGTGCTCAAGCATGGATTCTGTGCTCAAACCAAATTTCTTGTGACCATGTTAACTTAAGTTATAGGGTAAAAATAATGTTAAGTAGAAACATCTAAAGTGGTATTAGACTTTAAGTCCAAAATTCTTTCAAATCATTGACAAAATGTGCTTGTTTATAAAGTTATCATTGGTAAAAACTATTTGGCTTGAGCGCAGGATCTGAGTTTGAGCATGATAATGGTTCCATGACGACAGGCCCTGGCTCCCGTTCTCGAGAATCCGTTACATTATGCAGCACAAGAAAAAAAAAGCGTTGGACATTCAAAGTAAATATAAATTTAAATTCCAGTATAAAGTTTTCTTCTTTGCATTGCTTGTTTGTATATAAAGCTTTTTAAATGGAAGCAAAGAATTCAACCATTATCCAAACTTATATATCTAAATAACAAACAAATGTGCTTCTATGCAATCCCGATTATCGTAATGTTTATAAAACACTTCAATTTGTTTGTGTGTTTTTTAAGGTATGGCCATTTTTCTGGAATCAACCGGAAAGTTCAGCTGAAATACCAACCCTACGGTCACCCAAAGAAATCGTCCAGTGAAGAAGGTTTGTGTTCCCTACAATGTAGGCATGCATCCATAAGTTGTGTCTGTTGTATAATTTCTCATCATCCAATCATATTCACTGTCACATATTTAGACTGCACAGTAGCCCAATCCTGTCCTTGATTACATATCATGGCAATTCCTCCTTCCCCCCCCTACAATGTAGGCCTACATCCATAAGTTGTTGTATAGCTATTGTTTCTGTTGTATAATTTATAATCATCCAATCATATTAACTGTTCCATATTCAGTCTGCACAGTAGCCCAATCCTGTCCTTGATTACATATCATGGCAATTCCTCCTTCCCCCCCCTACAATGTAGGCCTACATCCATAAGTTGTTGTATAGCTATTGTTTCTGTTGTATAATTTATAATCATCCAATCATATTAACTGTTACATATTCAGTCTGCACATTAGCCCAATCCTGTCCTTGATTACATATCATGGCAATTCCTCCTTGACTCCCCTACAATGTAGGCCTACATCCATAAGTTGCTGTATAGCTATTGTATCTGTTGTATAATTTATAATCATCCAGTCATATTAACTGTTACATATTCAGTCTGCACAGTAGACCAATACTGTCCTTGATTACATATCATGGCAATTCCTCCTTGACTCCCCTACAATGTAGGCCTACATCCATAAGTTGCTGTATAGCTATTGTATCTGTTGTATAATTTATAATCATCCAATCATATTAACTGTTACATATTTAGTCTGCACAGTAGCCCAATCCTGTCCTTGCTTACATATCATGACAATTCCTCCTTCACTCCCCTACAATGTAGGCCTACATCAATAAGTTGTTGTATAGCTATTGTTTCTGTTGTATAATTTATAATCATCCAATCATATTAACTGTTCCATATTCAGTCTGCACAGTAGCCCAATCCTGTCCTTGCTTACATATCATGGGAATATCTGCTTCATTCGGGGATTTAATTTCGTGATAAAATAACGATCTGCAAGCTAGTTTTGTACTTTAATATATGAAATAAGATAAAAACATGAATAACAGAAACTTTTTTACCAGATATTCCACCAAGACTGTTTAATGTTAGTATTAGCATATAAAGAGTCCTTAATCAAAATCATCAACATATACTCAAAAGGTCAAACACATATGTACCTTCTGCTTCAATATAAGCCAATTCTCCAGAAATCCTGATAAGTGGGTTTTTGCTTTCCTGTAAAATATAAAAAAAAAACTGGACATATGTAATTGTATGCCTCACTTAATGCTTTGTTTCATATTTTCTGAATAGTTGCAGGTCTTCAGGTATAGATAACAAGCTTGATATGTTCTTTTTTCTTATCATAGTTTTTATCAGTCAGAGTTCAGGGGAGCTAACTCAGTCTTAGTTTCGAGGGTGTAACTAGTTTACGGGAGATTTTTCTTCATTCTCTAACCTTTGACTGGTGTATCATCCTTTTTCTGCGTTTGAGATATATCCTTTTTCTGCGTGTGAGATATATCCTTTTTCTGCGTGTGAGATATATCCTTTTTTCCCCTCAACCACTAAATGTTTCCTCACTCCCGTCACATGGGATAAACCTGCTAGGAGTTGGTAAACATTTTCGGTTAACCTCTAGTGGGTATCCCTCTGGGCATCCTTTCATTGGTCAATCTTCAAATAATGACGTCAAGTCACAATGCGTGTAACGTCATCTTCCATTTTGACATCATAGTACATTTGTACAACTGTTTCCCAGGTTGGAAAAAGGGATATTGTATTCCCAAAAGAAACAAATGGTCCTGTAGACATAATATCTAAACCTTATGGAGAGAAAGGTCCCAAACTTGTCAGAATTAAGGGATTTGTTTCTTCTGTCAGACATCAGAGTTTAGGGGGCTAATTGAATCTAGTCAAAGTTTAGGACACCAAATTCAGTCAATTCAGAGTTACCTCAATTCTGTCTGTGAGAGTTGAGGGGAGCTAATTCTGTCTGTGAGAGTTGAAGGGAACTAATTCTGTCTGTGAGAGTTAAAAGGGAGAAAATTCTGTCTGTGAGAGTTGAAGGGAGCTGATTCTGTCTGTGAGAGTTGAAGGGAGCTAATTCTGTTTGTGAGAGTTGAAGGGAACTAATTCTGTCTGTGAGAGTTGAGGGGAGCTAATTCTGTCTGTGAGAGTTGAAGGGAGCTAATTCTGTCTGTGAGAGTTGAAGGGAACTAATTCTGTATGTGAGAGTTAAAAGGGAGAAAATTCTGTCTGTGAGAGTTGAAGGGAGCTGATTCTGTCTGTGAGAGTTGAAGGGAGCTAATTCTGTCTGTGAGAGTTGAAGGGAGCTAATTTTGTCTGTGAGAGTTGAAGGGAACTAATTCTGTCTGTGAGGGTTGAAGGGAGCTAATTCTGTCTGTGAGAGTTGAAGGGAGCTAATTCTGTCTGTGAGAGTTGAAGGGAACTAATTCTGTCTGTGAGAGTTAAAAGGGAGAAAATTCTGTCTGTGAGAGTTGAAGGGAGCTGATTCTGTCTGTGAGAGTTGAAGGGAGCTAATTCTGTCTGTGAGAGTTGAAGGGAGCTAATTTTGTCTGTGAGAGTTGAAGGGAACTAATTCTGTCTGTGAGAGTTGAAGGGAGCTAATTCTGTCTGTGAGAGTTGAAGGGAGCTAATTCTGTCTGTGAGAGTTGAAGGGAGCTAATTCTGTCTGTGAGAGTTGAAGGGAGCTAATTCTGTCTGTGAGAGTTGAAGGGAGCTAATTCTGTCTGTGAGAGTTGAAGGGAGCTAATTCTGTCTGTGAGAGTTGAAGGGAGCTAATTCTGTCTGTGAGAGTTGAAGGGAGCTAATTCTGTCTGTGAGAGTTGAAGGGAGCTAATTCTGTCTGTGAGAGTTGAAGGGAACTAATTCAGCCAGAATTCAGGGAGCTAACTAAAGCAGACACAAATTAAATGTCAGCATCCACACTCTTCGTTTATCCAAAATTAAGTCCCCTTTGCCCAAGAATGTTCTACACAAAATGCATATTTAGTCAAGCAGGGATAAAGGGAGATAATTCAGGTGGTCAAAATTAAAATGAGCCGAGACATAGAAAGCATAGGAACTCAGAAAAATAGAGTTAAGCACTCAGAAATAAGGGAGACAACTCATTTTAACTATTCATCAAACTCCCTTTCATTATCATTGTTTCCTGCTGAGCATTGCTTTGCCTTGGCTTATGCAGTCACCTAATTCTTGATGGATTTTTAGAAATGAAGTTGAAAAAGAAAAGAAATAACCTGCATATCCCCACTCATAACTCTTCCATTATTGCCTTATCCTAAACATTTCTCACAACATAAGATTTCTGTCACAATATTGACAATAAATTAGACATGATGAAAGTTCATTTAAAAGATATCTGAATGAATATTTTGTCTTCAAGATTCTAAGAAAGGATATAAACCAGACATTTGATGATATTTCAGATTAGTAAAATCAATATTAGGAAGTGTTTACTCACAATGTTTAACATAAAATAAGGAAACCAATCGCATGAAATTCAAACATTTTTATTAGCAATCAATTAGTTAACACATCCGATAGATAATCATGCTGATCTGATATTATTACAGTGGTACTTTGTTGATCAGGCTATATTTAAAGATTTTGGGAACTTGTTCTTTTTCATCTTTCTCAGTCAACATTTTCATTGGTTTTTACGAAAGTAAATATTTGAGGGGATTTCATTAACCATTTCATAGTGGACAAGATGGCCTGGTCAAATATGGCAGTTCCCCTGTAGTGTATGTTTAATATAATTACTGTCAAATTAAAAATATTGCCTAGTCAAATATCAAAGTCCCCCCTGTATGTATAATATCATCGGTTCCCGGAGAGGACTGTAGGTTTGCACTCCGTCCGTCCTTCCATCTCCCGTCCTTCCTTCTGTCCTTCCGTCCATCCTTCCGTCAAAGAAATTTTTCCAGAACATATCTTCTATACTATTTCACCTGGATTAACCAGATTTGGTGTACAAGGACATCTTGGGATTGCAGAGTGCAGAGTGCAAGAAGAAGGTCACTATGACCTAACCGTGACCTATGCTTTGACCTTAACTTTTGATTTTTTTTTGTCCGGGGCATATCTTTTATACTATTTCACCTGGAGTAACCAGATTTGGTGTACAAGGACATCTTGGGATGACGGAGTGCTAGAAGTAGGTCACTATTATCCTTACTGTGGCCTATGCTTCCTGACATAGGTGTACTGTTTATTGAATATAGATATCGGTGGGGGACTATGGATTGACTTGCAATACTCTGCCTTGTTATAACAAGAATTGAAATTTGAGAAAACAAATGTGACAATATTTTCTCAAATTATTTAAAAAAATAAAATGTGTTCAAAGTAAACAAGATTGCTTGGTCAAATATCAAAGTTCCCCTGTGTGTATAACACCCTTGTTGTCAAAATTAGAACTGCTTTCTTGATTTTGTTGCCAAGTTGATTTTATTATGACTGTTTTTTTGACAGATTTGAGTGAGGAGATTGAACAATGCAGTTTTGATGATTGTGATAACTGTGACAACAGTAAGATTTTCTATAACAGCATTACACATGTATTTCTGAGTGATTTGGTTTTTATATCGATAGATTTAGAGTGGTGTGGCTTCATGAATGCTTAATGATTGGATATGACACCCTAACATTATTGTGTAAAATTACCCGTTATTATCAATAGCCCCGAGGTAGCCGGGATTGAACTTATATCATGAGGCACGGTAGTCTAGTGGTAGGACGCCGGGCTTGTGACTGAAAGGTTGTGGGTTTGAGTCATGTCACGGCGCTGTGTTGTATCCTTGAACAAGATCCTTTATTCCGCTTGTTCCAGTCTACTCAGATGTAAATAAGTACGTGGTTGGGCAGTGCTAGAATTGTTGAATGCTAGCTGTGAGTGCATAAATGGCAGCACCAGCTGTATGCTCCCCAGGGAGTTTAGAACGATATTGGCTGGTTGCAAAGGCCCTATAACCACGGATAATAATTTGTGAACCGCTTTGAGATGACCTTGATTTTGATAAAGTGGTTTATAAGAACCTCAAATTATCGTTATGATAAATTGCCTTCCCTATATCCTTTTGAAGCAAAGACTGTCAAAAGGACTTTACTTTTTTCCATATTTACTGGATAACATAGTGTAGATGCTAGTATAAAAATATAGAAAATGTTCTGGGTTTATATGAATTAGTTTATAACAATATTAAATATGAATATCCAAGATTTTGTTATTTTATCTGTTTTGGTTTTTTTGCTGAATTTTAACCTTATCTTTGAATAGTATTCCTTGTATGAGCTTGGACTTCACCATTTTTTAAGAATACTTGATACTTGTTCAGAAATGATGTTAGACCTTTGAATAATTACCATACCTTATTTAGGAGCATTTTTGGGTCTGATGTAAAACTGAAATTTCCAAAAATTAATTGGAAAAATAAATCGGGCTATACATGTATACTTTATTCAGATAACATTGTGACAATTATCATCTAAAACAAAATCAAGTATTGTTAATACATGTGTTTTAGCCTTTTAGATAATAATCAAATTTTAGTATAAATATAGAACTTCCTCATTTGGATTATTGTGACCACACACAATATCTTTCGCAAATGAGCCAATAAATACTTATGCACTAGATTGTTTTTGCTCATTTGTGGTGGGTACTCTGACGTGACACTCTTTTCCCAATTTCCAATGTAATGAATAATTCCCAATTTACAAAGTAATGAATAAAAAGCTCTGTAGCATCCATTCTCCTTTTATGGAGGCAATTGGTGTAAAATAATTTAAGTATTACTTAATTCTTATTCTTAAATTGTAAATTAATCACCCCCTTTGTCTACATTTTCGGTGTATTTAATGCATTTTTGTTCATATCACAAAAAAATCTAGTCATCAATAATTTCTGACCTGAGTTTAGTTTGACTTTATCGGAGGAGAATCTGTGATATTTTGTTTCACACCGTGAAATCTGGCATGTATGAATTTATGAATTGATCCGTTATGCCTTAATCTTTTAATACTCAATTTAAAAATTGCTGAAAATGATGAAAGAAACTTGGTGTGACTTGGGAATATTTGGATTGACTTGATATGACTCAATATTAATTGATAACAAATTAAATTTTGAAGATATTTGAATAAAGAATTGTTGGAAATAAACAATAATTAGAAACAATTTTGTAAAGCTCTGTTGTATGTATACCTTGGATCTTGATTAGGGCCTTGTATTTTTATAGTCTGATAGATTTACTGGTTGTTAACAAAAAAAATGATATAAAGTTTTTGACAAATATCTGAAAATTATTTTCATGTTTTCTGTATGTAGCAGGTGATCATCTTGAAATTTTGTAGGGTTACTTTTGAATTTCAGTATTTTAAACAATTATAGAATGTATTTTTGTGTTGTCAATAAACTTTGTAAAGCTGGGTCCAGCAGTGTATAATTAGCTTATGTGAGGGGACCTTCAATGTTGATAAAACTATTGCATCAGTGTTCAGTAGCAGAAAAAGATAAGGTTGTTCGTTTGTTTGTTTTTCTGTTAGAAAATGACAAGATTTGGGAAAAGTAAAGTTCATCTTTATGTATATTAAAAAAAAGTCAGTTTTATTTCATTTTAAAAAAGTTAGCATATTCAAACTGGTGCTAATGAACTGAGTCAATTGTTGTCAAGTAAACATGGAAGTAAATTTTTAAAGCTATAATGTCTCAAGAAAGTGTCAGTTGCCTGAAGAACCAGTTTGGATTTGTTAGTTGATATACATAAATAAATATTGTGACATATGAAGTAACATTTATATTTTATTGTACAGTCATATGACAGAGGTAAATACAATCTTTATTTATTATCGCATTTTTGTTATTGATTAATTTTTATCAGATGACTATCCTCGCAAACCATCCTTGTTGCTGATTGTGAAATGGGGAGGGGAGTTAACTCCGGCAGGTAAAATACAGGCAGAAGATTTAGGCAAGGCCTTCCGGACACTGTATCCTGGTGGACAAGGTAAAGACTTGTTATAATGCCAAATAATAAAAATATTGTGTTTCCACAAACCCTACTTACCCTAGATTTTTGTGCCAATCCAACCGTTTTTGTAGTATTTAGTGATATGCAATGTTTAAGTCAGAACTCCTGCTCTATATAAGCATAGTAAAAATATTTTCCAAATTTAATAAGAAATTGCCTGCCTACCTTTCCTGTTTTTCTGAGGATAATAGCAGGATTGGTTTTGGCCTTAGCTACTTATGTATTAGGCAAATGAACAATCTGGCATTAGTAATAAAATATGTATTTACCGAAAAAAACCATGATTCACGATTTTAAGATTTGGAAGATAAGGAAGTATTTCAGTTTATTTTATTTTACAAATGTCATATTTTAATAAATCATTTAAAACTATGTTTAGATATGGTAATGATGTACACTTTCAGATGTTAACTATAGTGTTTTGACTATAAAGCAGAGATACCAAACAACAAAATGAGCAACCAACTAAATTAACAGAATTTAAAAAGGAGAAAATCATAATTGAATGTTTTGATAAAAAAAAAATCCAGATCAGTGGAGTTTTGGCAAGCAAATAATGTCTTAATTTAATCCTCACGTATTACCATGAATTATGCTTCAAATTTTGGCATTGACAGGTCAAGGGTCAAAACCTAAAAGTTTAAGAAATGACTGTTGATGGTTTTGCACAAAATTTTCAGGCAGCATAAATCTATTTCAGGATATTGTTTTAACTAATTTCATGGATGCTTCTCAAAATAAGAGTATGGGGGTAATATTTGGCATTTGGGACCTCTACCCTGAGGTAAATAATCCACCAGTACCCGTAAGTGTACCGCTACAACGATGGTTGAAGAAATCTTCAAGACTACTGTGTTTGAATCATCCCACAGATTTGGAACATCTACGCCGTGGTAAAAGTTCGCCAGTATACCAAGGATGTATATATACCGTACAACGATTGTTGCAGAAATCTGTGTGATCAGGGTTCGAAACTCTTGACCTTTAATGAATTACTTGGGGAATAATGATGTTTATAGCATCATAAATCCAAA